GTTTAGGGCTGTTGTACATAGGATCGCTATGAGTTGCAAGCAACTCAATGGCACACAACAACAACAATAGATAGGTTGTGTTGTTGGTTGTTAACTGCAGCCAAGTTGCCCAGAGAGAAACAAAAATAAATATGGAAAAATCCTAACCACTGATCAAGCTGCGTAAAGTGTACACTGGAATCCTCTATAGTTTCAACTTTTTTGTATGTTTTCAATTAATTAAAAATAAAAATTACGGCGCCCCGGCCTGCGGACACCCAGGACTCCAAGATGGCCTCTGTCGTACCACTGAAGGAGAAGAAGCTCTTGGATGTAAAACTGGGGGAGCTGCCCAGCTGGATACTGATGCGGGACTTCACCCCGAGTGGAATCGCAGGAGCGTTCCAGCGAGGCTACTACCGGTACTACAACAAGTACGTCACCGTGAAGAAGGGGGGCATCGCTGGGCTGTCCATGGTGCTGACAGCTTACGTGGTGTTCAGCTACTGCCTTTCTTACAAGGAGCTCAAACATGAACGGTTACGGAAGTACCACTAAGAGGCGCCGTCTGCATTCCTGGCCGGGTGCCTTTGCCCTGGCGCCCTTCCCTTCTTCAACAGCCCTCTGCCTCCTAGATTGAGAACTCTGTCCAATAAAAGATGACACACTCAAAAAAAAAAAAAATTAAAAAATAAAAATTACTTAAAAGGACAGTGCTAACTGGGGGGAGAGGTGGAATTAAGGTAGACTGAAACATTCTGAAAAAGAGGAGCATCCATTGCAGAAATGATTTCTAAACTCAACGTAATCTGTTCACAAACACATGGGTGTCTACACAGCCCCCACAAGCAATGGTTCCAATATTTGTGCTGGTGAGGCACTTCCCTGAGGAGCAGCATTCCTCCAGGGACACACAACAAATACGTGTGCACACATATACATGTATACCTATGTACACACAGTAAGAGACACACTCACAAACATACACCAGGACACGCTCATAAAATATACACATAAATATCAGCCAAAAGGCACACAGTCACAACACATACACATAAATACCAGCTAAGAAACAAACTGAGGATAATCAGCAGTTTATCCTTAAGATTTTTCTTCTCCTTATTCTCTAATACATCCATCGCCTTTCCAGTGGGGAGCCTTATAATATCATCCTATTTAGTCTCCTAACTTCATTCTCTTCCTCTCCAATTTATCCTTCAGACTCTCTCCAGAGTATTAATAAACTATAAATCTGATCACATCTGCTTGCTTAAAAATCTCCAAAGTCACCAAATACTGACTTTCTTCTCACATTCCTCAAATGAGCTTCAACACAGAGCCACTATGTATGTATAACATTTCTACCAGAACTTTTAGGAGATACTGGTAGCATATTTCATTGCATCACAGAATATTATTTAAAGTTGAAAATTGTTCCATTGTGTGAGTGTAACCATAGTTTTTCTATCCACTCATTTGTTGACAGATGCTTGGGTTGCTTCCATCTCTTTGCTATTGTGGATAACACAGCAATAAACATGGTGTACATACATCTGTTTGAGTGGAAGCTCTGGTTTCTTTGAGATATATTCCCAGTAGTGGAATTGCTGGGTCAAATGCTATTTCTATTTCATACATTTTGAGAAAGCACCAGACCACTAGCAGTAAATAAGGGTTCCAATTTCTCTACAACCTCACCAGCATTTGTAACAATGAACTCGTAAAACATTACACAGCATGGGTGACCCTCCAGGACATTATGCTGAGTGAAATAACTCAATCACAAAAGGACAAATACTGCATAACATCACTGTTATAAACCAGGAGGGAAATGGGGGGTTAGAGGGAGACTAGAAAAAGAGTGGTTAGATAATGAACACTGCATTTGGAACAGATTAGGGAAAGAACTGTTTAAAAGAAATATATGGCTAGGCATTATATGTAGGACAAGAGTCCAGAATAATATGTGCATAGTGAAGTGGATTTGGGGAGGAGGAAGGGAAGGGAAAGAGGAAACTGTGCAACAATGATGAATTTTTAAAAAAAAAAGTTAACTGGGAGAGGGAGAAAGAAGGGAGAGAGAAGAAAATGTGCAACAATGAATAAATCAAAATCTAACTTTTCTATAAACTTTTGCTAAAATCACAAGAAAAAAAGAAAATTGAAAATGAGATGCCATTATTAATGCACCACCACATTCCTGCCACCAAGAATTGTTCACTAGCCAATTTTTTTTCTCCTTGGTTCCCTTTCTCCTCCTCCATGTGACAGTCTTCACCTTTCCTTATCCCCACAAAAAAATTACCACTTAATTCTCTTTTATATTTACTTTCTTTGTTTTGCTTATAATACTTCATTTACCTCTATTACTGAATAATATACTCGAATGTACAAATGCACTACATTTTCTTTATTACTCTTCAACACTTCAGCTGTTTTCTTCACCTTGTAGCTACTTGAAATAATGTTATAATCAACAACATGTACAAGTATCTGTTTAAGTTAGTTCCTGTATAAGTCTTTCTGGTTTCTGCCTTGGAATGGAACTGCTGAGCCACTTAGAAAAACGAGAGATGCTCAACAAAACAGATTAACATTGACAATGGGCTTAAGTGCAGCAAAGATTGTACAGCTGGCGCAGGATTGAGGAACATTTTGTTCTGTCACACATGGGGATGCAATATGAATTGGAGCGAACTCAAGGGCACCTAATAGCAACAACCACAATAGTAATACTGGATTCACTGGGCACAAATGTTTGGAGGCCTGATTGTATTCAAATGTATTAAGAAGAAAGGCAGGGTGATCATCTTCTGAAAAATCGACCATTGAAAGTTCCATGGAGCATAGGTTTACTCTTTCATGCATGGTGCCACCATGAGTTATAATTGAACCATAAAGAATTTGACAGCAATTGGTTTGTGGGTAACTTTGTTTTTTAAAAGTGGTTGAGTATATGCTGTTGTTTGGTACCATGCTGTTGGAACCAATTCATAGCTGACCCTCCAGAGGATTTTCAGAGACTATAAATCTCAAGGGAGGAGACTGTCCTTTTTTCTTCAGTGGAGCAACTGGTGGATTCAAACTGAAGACTTTGAATTGTCAGTGGAACTTCTTACCACTCAGCTAGCAGAGTTCCTTCAAGTATATGAGCTCTGGAGAAATAATGGTTAAGTGCTCAGCCACCCAAAAGCCCCTTATGAGAAAGAGTTGGCTTTTACTCTGATAAAAACTAAGAAAACACTATGGGGCAGTTCACCTACCACCAAAAGCATACAGAGAGAGAGAGGGAGGGAGGGAGGGAGAGGGAGAGAGAGAGAGAAAGTAAAATAAAATGCTATTTTTAATATTTCTGTAGGTACAACCCAGTGGCATCCATTACTATTATCACCTAATGCAAATTTTGCCCCTACATGCAATTACTTTCCCAGGTATTGCCAAACTGATTTCCACAGTAGCAGGATCATTTTGCATTCTCACCTCCACATCCTTACCAGCATTTTTTTATTTCTCATTTTTCCATTAATAGCCATCCTAGTGGGTAAGAAGTGGTATCTCACTGTGTTTTTTATTTATATTTTCCTAATAACTAATGACTTGGAATATCTTAATATTTTTTCCCTCCTTTTTTTTCTTTTTTTTTTTTTTTTGGTAAGGAGTTGTAGCACCATCTCATAGCCCAGAGGCAGACAATTCTAATCCACCAGCTGCTCAAAGGTACAAATATGGGTAATTTCCTCCTGTGCAGTTCACAACATCTGAAAACCTGCTGCAGGATCAGTTATGACTCAGTTATGACTTGATGACATATAACAACAATAAGGCTCTTTAATTAATCCATCAGCCTCAAATAAGACAAAACCAGAAAGACCATCATCCAAATGTGAGAACCTGTCAGCTCATATCTTAATACAGAAGGCAATGGAACACCTCTTTTCATGTGTTTATTTGCCATTTGTGTTTCTTCTTTAGAGAAATATCTGTTCAAATATGTTGCTAATTTTAAAATTGAGTTGTCTTTTTATTGTCTCACTGTTAAGAATTCTTATATATTCCAGATATTGTACTTAATAAGATACACGGTTACCAAACATTTTTCTCCTATTCTTTAAATTATCTCCTCATCTTCTTAAGCAATTCCCTTGAGGCAGAAAAATGTTTGTTTTGATGAAGTTCAGTTTATATATTTTTTTTATCCTGATGTCTGTGCTCTTGGTACCACATCTAAGAATTCATTTTTTAAAAAATAAAGCCTTGAAGATTTACTTCCAAGAATTTCATATTTCAGTTCTTATATTCAGGTCACTGATCCAGTTTAAGTTCATTTTTACATATGTTGTGAGATAGAGGTTTGACCTCATTCTTTTACAAGTGGACATCAATTTCCTCAATATCAAGTCATAAAAGTATGTTTTCCAGGGAGCGCTGGTGGCATAGTGGAAAGATGCTGAACGGCAATCCCAGAGGTATGCAGCTCAAATCCACCAGATGCTCTGCTGGAGAAGGAGGGGCAATAATCTCCTGTACCAGTCTGATCCTATTTTATGGTACACAAACAAAAAATAATAAAATAAAATAAAAAATTAAGAATAATGTTTCCTTCCCCATTGACTAGCCCTTTATTTTTGTAAAATCAGCCATAGCCATATAAGCTTGTTTCTCCTATGTCTAAACTCTCTCTTCTATTCCATTGACCTACTATGCTTACCCTTCTAACCACACCACCATGTTTTAATCACTGCAATTCCACAGTACACTTTGAAATTGGAAAATGGGAGTCCTCATACTTGGCTCTTCTTTTTTCAGGATTGTTTTAGATATTGAGGACCTCTTGCAATTCCATACTGACATGTCTGCTTGTTATTTTGGCAAGCCCTGGGATATTTAGTACTTTTTTCCAACACCACAACTCAAATGCATTGGTTCTTCTGTCATCCTTATTCATTGTTCAGTTTTCAGATGCATAGCAAATTACTGCAAAGACTAAAGCTTGATTGGGCACACCTTAATTTTTAAACTCACATCATTGCTCTTCAGTAATTTGGAGAGGTCCCTGAGAGCAGATTTCTTTCAGCCAAGATTCTTCTAACATCAATAGTGATAAGTGCCATAGCCTCTTTTAAACCCAACTTAAATCTCTGGCAGTTCTCTGCCAATGTACTGTACTAGTTATTTTTTATTATTTTCAGTATTATTTTGATTGCATATGATATTAATTATATTGTTCAATAATTTCCACATTCCACTGAATCACCTTTGTGGAAATGGGAACAAATATGGGTTTTTTTTTTTCTAGTCAGATGGCCAAGTGACGACTGTCTTCAACATTTCCTAGCACAGACTGGTGAGCACACCTAGGGCTGCATCTGTTAGATGAAACATGTCAGTTGGAATCCCATTGATTTCTTGCAGCCTTATTTTTCACTAATACCTTCAGTACAGCTTGAATTTCTTCCTTCATCACCATTAACTCTTTATCATATACTACTTCCTGAAATGTTTCAGTGTCAATCAAGCCTTTTCAACACAGTGATTCTGTGTATTCTCTCCATCTTCTT